CCCACCTCTCTTTTACAAATCTTAAATGGCTTTATTTGTGATTCTAGAATCGGGGAGCAGTCTGGACCAGATTGTTCATCGTGTCCGACCCCCACCACTAGGGCAGGTTACATTGATAGAGAAAAGGAAGAGACTTAAATAAAATGAAGCCAGGCCCGAGCGGTGGCGCCTGCCTGTAATCCCAGCTACTTCAGAGGCTGAGATGGGGATCACCAAGTTCAAGGTCAGCCTGGACAATTTGGTGAGACCCTGTTTCAAAAACTGGAAAGCATTAGAGATGTAGTTTAATGGTAAAATGCCCCTGGATTCAGTCCTCAGTACCAATAAATGAATACAAATAAAAAATCTTAAAAATGGGAAAAAGAGACAGCCTGATTCATTTGCTTAATTTTCTATATGCCTTTCACTAATCTGACCCCAGATTCCTTAAATTGTATAAATCTCTTCTTGGTGTGTTCAGGCGCAGTAAGTTTGTGTTTGAAATGAAATACTGGTTTTGTTTTTCTTCAGTGCTCTGACTAGTTCCAACATGAGCTGTGTGTCTGCCAGGCACACAGCTGCTGTCTTGTCCCTGTCACTCTGGGAACCCCCTTAGCTTCTCTTACATCGGCCTCTGCCTTCTGAATCGGATGCCTTCAGGTTTCTTGGAGCCTTCAGGTTTCTTGGTGGACTYCCTTGACTTCAGACAACATTCACTGACCTCCTGAGGAACCGTAGGTAGGGCTTGACTTTTTTTTTTTTTAATATTTACTTATTTATTTATTTTAGTTATTGGTGGACACAACATCTTTGTTTGTATGTGGTGCTGAGGATCGAACCCGGGCCGCACGCATKCCAGGCGAGCGTGCTACCGCTTGAGCCACATGCCCAGCCCCAGGGCTTGACTTTTGAGCCTAACATATTAAAAAATGTCTTTTCCCTCCCTAGTCATCTTAAAAGTATGGCCAGGCACAGAATATATTTTCAGAACCTTTTAAAATTAAGAATTACTGTTGAGAAGTCCAATGCCATTCTTCCTGTTGATTCTTTACATGAATCTATTTTATTGGAATCTTCTGTCTCTAGTATTCTCAAAATTCACTTTGTACTGAACATTCAGGTGCTCTTTTTTTTTTTTTTTTTTTTTTGTAATGCTGGGGATTGAACCCAGGGCCTAAGTCATACTAGACATTTTTCATTTTTTTAAATTTTGAGACAGCCTCTCAAAAAGTTCCCCAGGCTGGCCTTGAACTTGAGATTCATGCCTCAGCCTCCTGAGTTGCTGGGATTATAGGCATATACCACCAGCCTTATCTTTTCTTTATATGTCTGTTATTGAGTTTTTAAATACCTATTTTTTCCTTTTTCTCTATCATTTCTGTTTTTTTCCAAATGTCTCCTTTTATGTTGGTTTGACCAATATGAACATTTCCTCAAATATCTGATGACCTGAATATGAGCTCATATTTAGTAGCAGAACACCACACAGGTGATKGGAGGGTCCTTGTATTTGGGTAAACAACCCTCCGAGTGTCTCCCCGTGGGGTGGCCTGCCTGGATCTTCACGTGGGAATGCCACTGCATATCATCATTCAGTCTTTGGTTTTGGTCTGATCATCTGAGTTCCAAACTTCATGCCTGCAGGGATCTGCCTTAGCTGCCAGCATCCTAGCAGATGACTGAGGTCGAAGGCAGAGGATCCAAGATTCAGTACCAGTAGACCTTCCTCTCAGTGGGGTACTCCCCCAACCCTGCTTCTCAAAGCTGATTTCTTAAATCTAGAAATTTATGTCTTTTGCCAAAATGGGGGAATTTTCAGCCGTTATTTCTTCCGATTATATATATATATATATATATATATTTTAATCTCTCTACCCACATTTCATTTTCTTCTGGGACTCTGAAGACATCACTGTTTAGTCTTTTGTCACAGTCCAGCAAACCCCTGAGGTTCTGTTCAATTTTTTTTCCCCAGCCTGTTTTCTCTGTGGTGCTCAGATTTGGTAATTTCTATTTTTCTTTTTTTTTWAATTTGTTCTTTTTAGATAAACATGAATTTTGACATATCATACATGGGGTAGGTAATTTCCATCGAGTTTTCATTAATTAATGAACTTGATAATGGTTTCCTCTGTCTTTATTATTTTGGGTTTTTCTTTCCTACCACTGTTAGTATTTCCAGGCTGTCACTCCTCTAGTACTCAGTCGAACATGTATGAAGCCAAAAGAAAACACAAACGACTCACCACCTTGTCATTCCTTGGGTCATGGGGTCCCTAGCCAACTGTTCTTGTGTTTGTTTTAATTAATGAACTTGATAATGGGGTATGTAGAGGTACTCAGTGGGAGGAATGGGAAAATCAGTCCATCCCTTCTTCCTAGAAGTCCCTGTTTCYTAAACAGCCTTTCAACCAGTTCTTAACTCCATCTTCAATCCCACTTCCAGAGTCTTAAGAACAAATTTGTGAGCCATTTACGAAATGTAAATAAGGTGGTGTTTTGTTGATGAACCCAGCCTAATTCCATCTTAAGACTGGGA